GTGTCATCTTCTGCAAAACATAGCGTGCCCGCGCCATTTTCTGCTCCACTGGCAGCGGATCTGCAGATTCCTTCTTTAATTCTAATAGGTGTTGGGCCACCTGCTTAAGGAGCTCTCGGTCTGCTTCTTGGGCCTCCGCAAAACTGGCAATTTGTCTCCCGTTGTGCTGCATTGGCCTGCAGCAAGGCTCTTATTATTTCCTCCATCTTCCCACTTGCTCAGGTGTGCCCGCATCCTCCACCATATGTGGGGTTAGCTCAGGTGGGGGATCTCCTTCCCTGGGACAAAGGTAGACCGCACAGCAGGCTTTCATCAAAATCTGACTGGTTGTCAGCTTTATTTAAAAGGTTCGCAGAAAATAAACAAAACATGAAAATAAACCCTTGCCATCCAGGCACTAACTAAACAAAAGGCGTTTCCTCTCTCAGAGGTGAAGGGCTTTCTCCCTGTCACCGAAATAAAACAAAAACAAACCTTTTTTCTTGTAGGTATAGTACACACACAGCTCTCTCAGAACACCTCTCTGAGTCCCAGCGCACGAGCAATTCCTTGCTCCAGCCCTGCCTTATTTATACCACCTGTTGGTGGTCATCAGTGGAGCCCAAACTCTCTGGTCCGGACCCACCTGCTTAACTGTGGCCCCGAAAACCCGGAGTGGACTCCACCTAAACGGTCAGGTATGAGCATATGCGAGGTGACACATAGCGTCCCTCTATCACCTCGCCGTTCATCCTGCCACAATATATATATTATATATATATATATATATTATAAATAGATAGAGCAATAACACAACAGAGAGATAAAAGAAAGAAGTTTAAGAAGGTAGAATACTTGCAGAAGTCCTGGTTTAAGCAGAGTTCAAGTGTCCCGACAAAAGGTTGCCTTTTCTCCAAAGTTGTTTCCTGATTTTAAAAGGAAGAATCTCTTCATCTTACCTCTCCAGGCCTGACAACCTGTTTTCTAGTGACCCAGCAGGGGGTGTCTACTGAAGCCAAGGGCCAATCTTCTCATTTGGGGAGGGGTTTAGGCAGAGACCCAGGCTAGGACCAAATCCCTCGCAAGTTTATACCATGGTTATTGACCTTCCATAGGTACATATAGCGTCCTATCCACTGGTAGGATAATATGCAGAATCATCTGCTGAACGTCCAGACACCAGATATGACATATCTGCCTGTGATGGTTAAAGAGATATCGCTTTCTGCTCTCGGGTAGACGTTATCTAGGGGTGTACGGTATCAGGTGACTTGTATTAAAATGTTTTACCGGAATATATGCTTTGTTTTATTGTACTTTGTTCCGTCGGGAGTTATGGATTTGTATGAAAAAGTGATTTCAGTGGAATGTACGTTTTACTGCTACTCCAAAATGCTTTTCATGTCCAGTGACTGACGGATTTATAGCTTTACGATTAGGCCAGAGCAAGAGTCTGACAGACCTCATGGAACCAGCTAATTGGGTTTACAACCATGAAGTTTATCCAGCTGTGCCCTGTGCACTCCTGAACTCAGCACACACACAGACCACATGCCATTCAAAAAAAGGGAGGGGGACTGATTTGGAGTGAGAATGACACAAGATGGTGGATCTTAGCAAAATGGTTGTCCACGTCCATATCTGTGCGCACAATTGCTACACCCACCAATGGTGCCCATTTCACAGCCAGTAGCTCTTAGTTGCCAATGTCAAATTTATACCAGAGAATTTGCAAGAAAAGAACATGCAAGGATGCAAATAATTGTTGGAAGTATGTTGTGTTTAAAACAGCTCCTGCTGAAATCTCAGAAACATCAACTCCAACAAAACCAGCAAGGCAAGATTTAGATGCCTGAAGTAGAGGCCAAAGAGAAAGCATTTTATTAGGGTTTCAGAAGCCTGCACAGCTTCTTGTGGTCACAACTTAGTATTAGTACATTTGGTAAAGTCAGGGTGATGGGCGCTACTGGACAGCAGGAGTTTTGCCAAGAACTTGTGCTCATCTCCGGTGTTTAAAATTGACTTCCACTCATCCCCCTTACAGATCCATATTAAGTTGTATGCCCCCCTGAGATCAAACTTGGAGAAAATTTGGGCTTCCTGTACTCTTGACATGGCTGAAAAGCTCGTGATCAATGTCAGTGCCTATTGGTTGGCAATGGTAATACAATTCAGGTTTCAATAGTTGACACATGGTGCAAGGGATGCCAAATGCAGGTGTCCAGCAACAGCAAGGACGACCTCAGTGGGCTACAATTAAGGAACCTGTAATCAGACAGAGCAGGATTAAGGTAAAGTTTATTTATACAAACACCCATCCAACACCAACAGTCCATAAACAAAGCAAAATTGAAAAATAATATGACAGTGAATCATATAATCAAATAACAATCAACATAACAATAATACACTATGTACAACTGGAGGGAAGCTCACATAAACAGGGCATGACCATCATTGAGACTGGGAGCAAGAGCAGTAGAGATGGGGTAACAGGATACAGTTTACTGGGTACAGGACACAGGATACAGGATCAAACAGGAAAGTGGCTCACAGGCAGAACACTGAGGCACTGATGGATGTTAAGGGATGGATTATATACCTTCCCAGCTGCCAGCATCAGGTGGAGCCTTTTTAAAGGGATCTGCTGGCTGCTGGAAGACACATGCTAGTGGACAATGACTCTGCGTCCTTCAGCTCTGGAAACCACAGTGCCACTGAGACAGAGCCTGAAGATGTCAACATGCACCAGTAGGAGAAGTTGAAGATTGAATGAACCCTCTTTGCAGGTTTTCCTCCAAGTAGTGGCCTGGTTTTCAAGTTCCAAGAGGGGGTAAACTAATCCCTTGGATGGTGAGGTACAGGGGAAAAATCAATCAGGCAGTCATTAGACCAATGTAGTAGTAGCTCAGAGGTAAATCTAGCACTACAGATGTCAGAGTATTCCTGGTAGCAGTCAGGCAGAGAATTAGTGGCAAGAGAGGCTACAATGAATTGCTTACATAGGCCGTGATCAGTGCAGAGGCTGATAATAGCACGACTGATACTCAGAACAGATCTGCTCTTAATGACAGGCTCCTTTGGTATGGTGAGTATGGAGGTTGCCTGCACCTTGCACTAAAAAATGGTTATTAATAGCAACTGGGGAGAATAGGGGAACGAAAGGAACAAATGGGAGTCTTCAGGGTGCAGGGTGGTCTATTGGACTTCTGGAGCTTTTATCTGGACCATGAAAAACAGGCCTATGTGAGAGTACTCCAGGTATTAAGGAAAACGTGTGTTTTACACGAAACATGTCAGGGGGATCCCTCAATGTGACGCTGACCTTGCTGAATTTACTTGTTTGATGCATAAGGATTGACTACAGGATACCATACTTTGAGTGAGTGTCCCTTTTGAATACTTTTGGATTTTACTCAATAAAGGCTATATTACACTATCAGCACTATCTTGCCTCCCTGGCTTGTTATTGCACGAGCCTCCTTAAGGTGGATCGGCATCTGGAGTCTGAGCGACGGTGGACCCATTGGTGACCCATTGGTGAGTCCTGAGGCGGACCGGGAGTGTGTCTTGTCATCATCTCTGGGAGTCTGCTAGGGCGCTCTGATGACAGCATACCAGTGACCAGACCCTGATGTCCTTTACAGAGTATATACATACAATGCGTATTTTGTATGTAGTTCTGGTAAGCGCATTACTACAAGGATTTTTTTATTTCTTCACTTGACCAGTTTGCCCACCTCGTGGACTTTTCTGATCACTGCATGGAGCACTTTTGATATATATTACTTCTGTCTTTGAGGACTTTTCATTTGGGACTATATCATTTTCATTTATTACCCAACTTATAGTTTCACATAACATTTAGCGCTGCATATTCTATGTTTTGGATCTGATTAAGGGGTTTATGTGTACAGTGATCAGGAGGATGTAGTGGGAAGGTCTAGAACCTGCATCGTGCACGTGAACAGTATGTGGGTTTGATGGGAACACAGGTGTGCCCAAAGACTCTGTATGTAAAGGAGAGGCCCCGCTGTGCTTGTTGGCCACATGGAAAGAAGCTGGTCTTTTTTAACCACTTGCCTACCAGGCACTTATACCCCCTTCCTTACCAGGCCAATTTTCAGCTTTCAGCGCTGCCGCACTTTGATTGACAATTGCGCAGTCATGCAACATTGTACCCATATGAAATTTTGATCATTTTTTTCTCACAAATAGAGATTTCTTTTGGTGGTATTTAATCGCCACTGGGCGCTTTACTTTTTGCGCTATAAATTAAAAAAAGTGCAAAAAATTTGAAAAAAAAAAAAAAAGTTTATTTGTTTCTTTTATAAAATTTTTCAAACAGGTATTTTTTCTCCTTCACTGATTTGCGTTGATGAGGCGGCACTGATGGCACTGATAGGCGACACTGATGGGCACTGATAGGCAGCACTAAAGGGCACTGATAGGCAGTACTAATGAGGTGGCACGGATAGGCGGCACTGATAGACAGCACTAATTAGGGGTCACGGATAGGCGGCACTGATATGCAGCACTGATAGGCGGCACTGATAGGTGACACTGATGATGGGTACTGATAGACGACACTGACTGGCATCACTTCTGGGCACTGACTGGCGGCACTGACTGGCACAACCCCTGGGCACTGACTGGTGGCACTGACTGGCAGCACTGCTGGGCTGCACTGGTGGGTGGCACTGGTGGGCAGCACTGGTGGGTGGGCACAGGTGGGTGGCACTGGTGGGCACAGGTGGGTGGCACTGGTGGGCACAGGTGGGTGGGCACAGGTGGGTGGCACTGCTGGGCACATGTAGGTGGCACTTCTGGGCACAGGTAGGTGGCACTGCAGAGTGGCACAGGTGGGTGCACTGCTGGGCACAGGTGGGGCACTGCTGGGAACGGGTGGGCGGGGCTAGTGGGCGCACTGCTGGGCGGAACTTGCGGGTGTCACTGCTGGGCACCGATCATCAGGGCACTGATCATCAGTGCCCTGATGATCGGTGCCGATCCCCGCTCTGACAACTGCCGGTTCTCGGCAGTACTTTCCTCACGATCTGACAGCGTGAGGAAAGTGCAGCCGAGAACCGGCACTTGCATTTCCCTGTGATCAGCGTGTCATTGGACACCGCTGATCACGTGGTAAAAGGCCGGTGGGATCGGCCTTTCACCACATCACGTGATCAGCTGTGTCCGTAGGACACAGCGATCACGGAGATCGCCGGGTGCGCGCCCCCTGGGGCGCGCAGGAGAGCGCGTTCTGGGAGGATGTCATATGACGTCCACTCAGAACTGGCCGGCCGCGGTGAAGCCGTCATTCGGCTATGCGCGGTCGGCAAGAGGTTAAACATATCTCTAAATAGCAGATTTTGGTCGTTAATTATTATTGGTTTTGGTGTATAAGGGTTTAAAGTGTAGTTGTGAATATTTCAAACATTTACAAATTCTTAAAAAGCAGTAAATGAGATTTAAAACTTTGTAGCTACAGTCACTGTGGAGCAATGTCAACTCAAGGTTCACAATAGAGGCACCAAAACCATAATGTAAGCCAGTCAGTAACCTGTTCCCCCTCCCGTAATGAGTCATCAGCCTTTCAGTCTTCCAGCCCCAGTGGGACACAGATGGAAATAAAAACCTGACAGATGTGATTACGCCATCCAAAATGAAAAAAAAATATATCTTTACTAGTAAATTAGATGTGCCCAGGGGCAGACTGACCATTTGGAAACTCGGACACTGCCCGAGGGCCCGGGGTCAGTAGGGGGCCCCATGAGATGCCCGTGGTACCTTTTTCATAGGCTTTTTTGAGTTTGGGCAAGGACACAGGGGCCTCATGATCCCCTATTGCCCGGGGGTCCCATGAGTTGTCAGTCCGCCCCTGGATGTGCCTCCTCATACTTCTCTAAAGGGCTTTAATATAGGATACTAGCCCGCCGGATTCATTCAATTTAGGTATTATGGTTAATACATGAATCAAGTTGAGGATAAAAAAAGTAGGGCAAATCTTGTTTCATATAGGTATTTTCTATTTTTCTTCACAGTAGAGGCCATGATCTGTTGTTCTGCTTGGCTGCTTGAGAGCTTTTTGAGCCCTGATAGGACCCTTTAATATAGGTTACTTGATTGATACTATTCATACCTTGATTGATACGAATAATACTTGTTTTTTTCTGAGGCTATTTATAGATAGGTATCAAAGCCAATTTGTGAACTATATATTGATGCCTATATCTTTTTTTCAGTAAAGGTCTCATGGTCTGCTTTTACCATTTTGGCCACTGGGAGGCTCTCTAATTCCTATGTGACATTATTGTAATATTATGTCCATTATGGTGTATGTACTACATGACCTACATAAAGTTTTACCCCCTTCATGACCCAGGCATTTTTTGCTATTTAGCACTGCACTTCTTTAACTAGCAACTGGTCGGTCTTGCAGCACTGTACCCAAATAAAATGTATATAATTTTTTCACACAAATAGAGCTTTCTTTTGGTGGTGTTTAAGCACCACAGGGTTTTTTATTTTTTGCTATATAAACAAAAAATGACAAATAAAAACGTGTTTTTCATAGTTGATGTTATAAATTATTTAGTCTCTGGGAAAATTATAGAGTCTACAATCCAGGGTATATACCGTATATTTGAAAATTGATCATTTCTGATGTACTGACAGCCAATCTCATTTTTTTGAGGCCCTAAAATGCCAGGACAGTACAAATATCCCCCAAATTACCCCTTTTTGGAAAGTAGACAGTCCAAGGTAATTAGTAAGAAGCATGATGACTTTTTTGAAGTTGTAATTATTTTTCCGCTATTTTTTTGCATACTGTTGAAAAAAATGTATTTAATCTTTTTAAACTCTTTTTGGTTTTTTATACAATTTGTTACATACTTTCATCAGATTAGTTCAGTGTCACCATAATGACACTGTACTACCTGGGGGTGGGGGGTGTTGGTGTGTGATCAGCTTTTTTTTTTTTTTCCATAACATGTACGTGATCCAGCCTGCTCGTACCACCCACTTGCAGTATATGTACAATGGGCAGGTGGCAACCAGTTAAAGTGGTTCTAAACACAGAACATTTTACCTTAATGCATTTTATGCATTCAAGTAAAAAATCTTCTGCATGCAGCTCCCCCTATCCCTCCTTTATATGTACCTGAGCCAATCTCAATCCAGTGATGTGCACGAGAGCAGCGTCTCTCTCCTGTTTCTCTCTCCTCGTTGGCTCAGAGACAGCAGACAGCAGTGGGAGCCATTGGATCCTGCTGCTGTCAATCACAGCCAGTGAGAAGAGAATGAGGGGGGGGCAATGTCGAGCCGGGGCTCTGTGTGTCAAGGGACACACGGAGCTGGCTTGGGAGTGAGCGCACACAAGTGCCTCCATAGCAAGCGGCTTGCTATGGGGACACTCAGCAGGGGGGAAGGGGCAGGAGCTCCGGTGGGGTACCAGAGAAAGGGAGGTAAGGTATGTATGTATACAGATAAGTATGACATGTTTGTTATTTTTTAAAAATAAAAAGCTTGCCTTTAGAATCACTTTAAGGTAACTGATATAGCTTCTGATTGACATCTCCACTATTTAGGGCTTACAAGATACATTTTCTAACATCATGATTTTATAATCACTATAGATACCTGTGGCAGAGTGGGTGGAGGATCTCATATGACTATGTCTGCATCAGCTAATGATGTCATATGTATGTTGACATGTATTGAATATAACTGTTGCACAGTTGTATGTGTGTTTTCTTAAGATTATTATATCCCATTTGTTTCTAAGCACTATCAGGTGTCTGAGAAATGCCTCAAATGACTTCCAACATTCTACTTCTGATTAGCTCTACAACCTGGAATACTGAGTTCTAGACTACTTAACTGCTTCCCAACCACGCTGTAACCGAAAGACAGCTACAGCGCGGTTGTCCATTTCTGGGAGGGAATCCATGGATATCCGCCCAGAACTCGTCCCCTGCGGCACACAGCTGATTACGTGATGAGATAAAAGGCCAATCACAGCGGCCTTTTACGACCTGATCAGCTGTGTCCAATGACACAGGAGATCACAAAGGTAATACAGTTGCCAGTTATCGGCAGCACTTTCCTCACGCTGTCACAGCATGAGGAAAGTACTGCCGTTAACCGGCAAATGTGACAGGGGAGATCTTCTGATTATCAGTGCCGCCCAGCAGTGCCCAGCAATGCCGCCCAGCAGTGCCACCCAACAGTGTCCAGCAGTGTCACCCATCAGTGCCCAGCAATACCACCCATCAGTGCCCAGCGGTGTCACCCATCAGTGCCCAGCGGTGTCACCCATCAGTAGTGCCCAGCAGTGCCGCTTGTTAGTGCCCAGCAGTGCCTCCAGTCAGTGCCCAGCAGTGCCGCCTATCAATGCCCATTATTGCTGCATATTAGTGCATCATCAGTGCCTCCTCATAAATGCCCACCAGTGCCACCTATCAGTGCCCATCACTGCAGCCTATCAGTGCCCATCAGTGCAGCCTCATCAATGCACATCAGTGCGGGAGAAAAATTACCTGTTTCCAAAATTTTATAATAGAAACAAAGAAAACCTTTTTTTATTTCAAATTTTTTGCTCATTTTTCATTTACAGTGCAAAAAATAAAAACCCTAGTGGCGATTAAATACCACCAAAAGAAAGCTCTATTTGTGTGAAAAAGATTATACAAATGTCACATGGGTACAGTGTTGCATGACCGCACAATTGTCATTCAAAGTGCAACAGCACTGAAAGCTGAAAATTGGCCTGGGCAGGAAGGGGGTGAAAGTACCCGGTAGGCAAGTGGGGCTTGGTAAAGGGTAGTTTATACAGCATGTGTGATAATTGTGACGCTATGCTAGGAATGCTGTATTTTTGTACTATACATGGGATAGAAATTTTTATAGAATTTTTATAAATATAAATAAAATTGATGGAATTTTGTGCAGGTTAGGGAGGGACACAGTTAAAGCCCCCAAATGATGACTGCTTATATTGTTATATGGATATATGGGATGTGGTGTCCTTACTGGTGAATCATGTGTAGTTATATTTTATTCGTATTGAACCCTCGTTAGGATGGGGCTCTTGCACATGGGCGGCTGAACCCGTCCAATGTAATTGTTGGCATATTTCCTATGCCAAGGCAGCCCCGGTACAGCATACAGCCTCCCACTGACATGAATGACTGTGTGCTGCGGTACTTCTATATACAGTATGACGGTGCGATCGTACATATGAGTACAGAGTACGGGCTTCTGCAAAAAATAGAAAGCTTTCTATTTTTAACATATTCTTGTACGCTGTACTTGTGTTTACAGCAGTGCATAGCTATTCATGTCAAACACCTAGGCTGCCTGTGCAAAGGAAATATGCTGACAACTACATTGAACAGGCTCAACCACCAGTGTGCAAGAGCCAAAATTCTGATTTAGGGCTTGCAGTATCATAATAAACAGGATTGCACCAACCATGGGGCACCATAACTCTTCAGTCTCTGTAGTGTACCTGTTGGTGAGGCAAAATATTAACACTTTTGATTACATTATTCTTTGCAGCCTGAGTAATAACGCACGTGTTATTACTTTTCAGTTCCTTGTCCTCCAACCCCTGATTTACTGTTGGGAGCAGCAGGAAAGAATACATGTTTTTCTGGCATTTCACCAGCTCTCTGCAGACTGCTAATGTGGATTGCAAATCACACCAAAGGGTGTCTCATGGTAGTGCATTTTGGGATTTATTGCTGAAAACTATGACACCAGGTGTCCATTTTCAATTTCAATATATTTTTTACTATTACTATACTGTAAATATTACTAAATATTAGATTTTTATAATAGATTTTTTACAAAATTACGAAGAGTCACATCTTGATATTTTCTATCTATGATAGCTTTTCTAAAAATGGTACATTTTCTCAGTTTAAACATTTGATATGTTTTCTTTTTTCTTTTGTGAATAAAATATGGGTTCATGAGATTTGCAGATCATTGCACTCTGTTTTTGTGTAGATTTTACACAGCGTCCTAACTTTTTTTGGAATTGAGGTTGCGTTTTTTAAAAGTAGCAGTGATATCTTCACTGGGCTGAACATAGCCTGTGGAGAGAATAGAACTTTAAGAGTCACCCTTTAAGGTCTACCCACGACAGGCTGCCTGCAGAAAAACACAGGGGGGAGGAGATGGATACAAGACCAGTCACCCTGCCCAAGAAAATAGAGTAGCAGTGACAGGTCTTTATTACAGACAGAAAACTCCTGTACAGAGGAAGTTGTTCTGTCCTCGCTACACGCTTGTGTGTAAGTTGACATACTATTATTATTATACAGTATTTATATAGCACCAACAGTTTGCTCAGCGCTGTACATTATAATGGGAGACAGTACACGAGACAGCACAGTAACAATACAATAATACACGAGGGGTTCGAGGGCCCTGCTCCTTGGAGCTTACAATCTAGGAGGCGGGGATAGTGGTACAGGAGGAAATAGTTGTGGGGGATGGAGTGGTAGGAAGAGTGGAGGAGATCGGCAATTAGCAGAGGGCAGGGTAGGCTTCCCTGAAGAGATGGGTTTTCAGGGTGCGCCTAAAGGTAAGGAGGGTAAGTGACAGTCTGATGGATTGGGGTAGTGAGTTCCAGAGCATGGGGGAAGCCCTGGAGAAGTCCTGGAGATGGGCATGGGAGGAGGAGACTAGGGAACTAGAGAGTAGGAGGTCTTGTGAGAAGCAGAGAGTACGTTTTGAGTGGTAAATGGATATCAGGTCGGTGATGTAGTTTGGGGCAGTGTTATGAACAGTTTTGTACATCAATGTTAGTAATTAGAATTTTATGCATTGGGCAACCAGAAGCCAGTGGAGGGATTGCCAGAGGGGGGTGACGGATACGGAGTGGTTAGTAAGGTGGATGAGTCTGGCCGCAGAATTCAGGATAGACTGAAACGGGGATAGTCTCTGATGAGGTAAGCCGGTGAGGAGGGAGTTACAGTAGTCAAGTCGTGATATAATAAGGGAGTGAATGAGTTGCTTAGTAGTTTCTGGAGTTAGGAACGGACGTATTTTGGAGATGTTGCGGAGGTGGAGTCTACATGAATTTGTCAGCGATTGGATCTGGGGCTGGAAAGACAGTTTGGAGTCTAGAATGACACCTAGGCTTGCGGGGTGAGGCTGGTGGTGGCGTTGTTGGTCGTGATGGAGAATTCGGGGGGGGGGGGGGGGGGGGGCTGGGGGGAAAACTAGGAGCTTGGTTTTGGAAAGGTTTAATTTGAGGAAGTGGAGTGACATCCAATCTGATTTGTCGTTCAGAAGGCTAGTGATTCGGGCGGAGACTGAAGGGGTGAGGCGAGGGGTGGAGAGATAGATTTGCGTGTCATCGGCATAGAGATGGTAGTTGAAGCCGTGGGAGTGTATCAGTTGGCCAAGGGAGGAGGTGTAGATGGAGAAGAGAAGGGGCCCGAGGACAGAACCTTGAGGGATCTCAACAGAGAGGGGGGGAGTGGCAGCGTTATAGGTAACACTGAAGGAGCGCTGTGATAGATAGGAAGAGAGCCAGGAGAGAGCGGAGTCTATGAGGCCAAGGGAGTATAGTTTTTTGAGAAGGGGGTGGTCAACCATGTTGAAAGCCGCGGAGAGGTCGAGGAGTAGTAGCACTGAGTAGTGGCCATTAGCTTTGGCGGTTAGCATGTCGTTGGTGAGTTTGAGTAGGACGGTTTCGGTGGAGTGGACTAAAGTGAACTTACCATTACATTATTTTTTTTTATTATGAACTATTAATTTCAACAAAAAATTATATGTGCATTTAACATATTTGATAAATGTTATCTATTTTCTATTGTGAATAAAATACGGGTCTATGAGATTTGCAAATCATTGTATTCTGTTTTATGTAGATTTTTACACAGCAGCATCACAACTTTTTTTGGAATTGGGGTTGTACTTTGTAAAAGTAGCAGTGACATTACCAATAGTAAAAACTATTAATTAAAAGAAATCTTCCCATAAGATTATTGTAGACATTTGTTGTAGACATTTACGAGCTCTAAGGTTTTGCTGGGCGCCACTATCTTGGATGTGATGTCAACAGCCCAAGGAGACTCATAGCTGTCACCAAAGTGACACAAAATAGTATTCCCCTTTGCACCTCCCTCACCAGCTATATAAAAAGTTATGTAGGGAGGTGAAGGGAGGGCCAAAGCATCTGGGCCAGCACAGAGTATAATTAGACACGCACAAAAGAGGAGGTGACTGTAACATACAAGAAGGGAAGGGATGTGCTAGGAAATTGACTCCTCTTGGAGCAGTTACATTTTCTAGTGAGTTCAAAGATACACTGTATGTTAATTAATGGAAAGAAAAAAACATTGCAAGCAAACATTTAAAATGTCAAATTTAATTTTAATTTTTAATTTACAATTTTTCATGCTTTACTTGCAACTTTTTAAAAGGTGTTGACAAGTTTTCTTTAAATCTGCTTCCAATGCAAAGTACAGCTGAGATTAAGCACTCTCATTGTCCTAAAAAGCCATGTAGATAAAGAGCTTACTGGGTGGATACAAGCTGAATTGTTTTGCTACTACACCCAATATATTTTTAACCAAATATCTGATGACTCTGTCAAAATATTGACTTGAGTTTCCTAAAGTCATTCTGCATAAATCTGAAGGAAATGAATTTTGCCGTCTGCAGAAAAATATCCATATTGTAAAAACCTGTTACAGGATAAGGCTATACAGGAAAAGCAGTTTAATTCCATGTATCACAATGGGTATAAATAGAAAATATGTAACCTAAAATTCAGATAAGCGGGAGTCTTCATTTCCTAAAAAGTCATCTCCAGATGCACAGGTTATGTATACAAGATAAATAAAATCAATTAAGGATAGAAACTCACAATTTTTAAAAACCCATTTTATTTTCACAGTTATTCATATTTGATGTATATTTTATAGACGAGAGTGATAACTGGTCATTTATTATCAAGAAAAAACTGCATATATTGAGAATATCCAGTGCACCTGTTCTTGTCAGCTCAGAATCTTCTAGTACTAGCTTAGTTTCAGTGTTCTTTTCTTTTCACCCAAAACAATACCATTTACAGTTTCTTTATTTTTTGAATTACTCATTTATCTTGATTGATTTATTAAATGACTCCAGCAGCAGGGATAGTTTTCCTTAATTTCCTTCATTAGAACCACTAGGTATGCAATCTGTGCCTTAAGCAGACAAAATCCTAGCTTAGAAAACCATGACAGCTGTAAATAAACTCATAGAAAATGTTTGTATTTCTGTTGATATTGGGGGAAAATGTGGCAATAACTACAGAAGGAA